AAAAAAAAAAAAAAAAAGACATAAATATTTACACACACACACACACAACTAAATATAAATAAAATATATATCACAAAATATTAGATCAATATTTTTTTCAGGTCAAATTAACAGGCTTTACGATAAAATGATTTGATTGAAACAAAATTATTATTTCAATCTATCGATAAAGATGACAAGATATACGACTCAATTATTATCCAAATTCTTTTATCACGCATACTTTTCATAATAACTTCAAATTTTTCAAAAAAAAAAAAAATTACAAAATTTATTTTAAGAAGTAGGGGTTCAATAAAGAGCTATATATTTTCGTTTTTGAGGCAACAAAATGTTGATGGTCTTGTACTGGATTTCGATGAAGTGCTTTGCTTGGTAAATATTATATATATATATATGTTTTATTCATCAAAGTGTCTTCATACTCACAAGAGGTGGGATCATTGAATATTTTATTCGAGTGAGCTCCACCCACATATGATTGTATGGATACTGTAAAAAAAATTATGTACAAGCAGTGAATTAAGTTAATAGTTAATTTAATATAGAGATTATACGAAACGAACCAAAAATCAGTTGAACTTAGAAAACGAATCATATTTTNAATTAAGTTAATAGTTAATTTAATATAGAGATTATACGAAACGAACCAAAAATCAGTTGAACTTAGAAAACGAATCATATTTTAAAAACTAGGAGTAAAAATCTATCAGACAGAGTGATAATAAAAAAACAAATAATCAACTTCAATCAGAACAAGAGATACGCAGTAGTAGTATCCCATTGCCATGGCTGAGAGCAGTAGAAGTAGAAGTAGCAGTAGCAGTAGAACCACTGCCACTAACAGCGATGAATCATCGTCTTCACCAATAACCATATTAGCCCAAGATCATCTTTTCTCGATTTTGCTCCTTTTACCAATTGAATCAATTCTTTGTTTTGCCATGACTTGCAGAAAATTGAAGTTTTTGGCATATTCTGATTCTCTATGGGAATCTGTATGCAGGAGGGACTGGGGTAATTTCCCAGTTGATGCTCTGAAAGCATCGAATTCTGTGCAGGGAATTCACTGGAAGAAGTTGTACCAGCAGGTTCACCAGTTGGACTCTGTCTATTGCCATAAATTATTGGTTGAAACCCCAGATGGTGATGAGGTTCTTCCCAGCCCCAGAGCTTCTCATTCCCTCAATTTTGTGAATGGATGCCTTGTTCTGTTTGGTGGGGGATGTGAAGGAGGTCAGTCGTTTTTGTTTTTTATTTTATGTTATTTTTTGCTTGTTGAAGTATATTTATAGCCCTTGATTTATTTTTTTCTTAGTATGTATATGATTCTTGGCATCATAATCTTTGTTCTGGTGGTTTTAATCTATTTGACAGTTACTTGTCTTAATTGTTGTAAACATCAAATATATTGTATAGCTAGCAGTTGAATAATTTTTTTTATTTTTTATTTTTCTCCCTAAATTGAGGTCATCTACTCAATTTGATATGTGGGAAGAGGAATTGATGTTATGTATACAAACTGCTTGCTTCTGGTAAAAAAAATGGAGGACATATAGATAAAGTAAATATTCCATCTGCTAGTTCTTAGGCAAATGCCCTTTGAATTGTGCAAGCAATCACTAGTTCATGTCCCAAAAGATTAGAACGCGATAAGAACTTACACGCTTTGTGTATTTTAGAGATGTAAAGATTCCCTCAAGTCCTTCAGTTAATGTATTATAAGTTCCTAATACACCCTAAACATTTTGCTGTTGACTTCTACACCATGTCTAAGCTGGAGTTCTCGAAGAGCTTCTAGTAGCCTGAAAAGTTTGAATTCCACTCTTTTGCTTTCCAAAGTTGATACTAACCAGTGCCTGACCCCCCAATTAAAAAAAAAAAAAGGAACAATTTATTTATTTATTTATTTTTGATAGGTAAAAAAAATAAATAAATAAATGAAATAAAATGAAATGTGTGAAATTTTAATTAACAATAACTTCAATGTAAGATAAGAAGCACAGAAGATGAGGTGTAACATTTCTCTTGAGAACGGACGGATATCCCTTATCCAGGGAGCATAAATAATAGTAACGTGTCAACTCTTCTGGTTGTTGACTACTAATTACCCGCAGACTGTTTTAATCGAGAAAGGAGTAACTCAGTAATAGCTTTCAAAGGTATGCAAGAAGAAAATTCTTCTTCTCCAATATGCAGTGATGGGATTTCTTCCCTTTTCTCTCGGTTTTTCTTAAAGCCTTTTCCTTATTTATGAAGAAAAATTGGTCCTGTGACTTTGTTGATCCACACTCGTAAATAGAGATTCCCCTCAAGCTTCCTCACCCAGTCCCGATTGGCTTGATCATCATTTCCAACTTTTTCTGCGTGTTAGGAATTCCTAGGTGGATAACAAAAAAATAAAAAAAAAAGTTATTAGGCCATACATTTGCCAGTTTTGCACATTGTTTTTCCATTACAGAAATGTAAGTTGAATTCGTACCATAATGTGTCTAAGTGCTAGCCCATTGAAACGAGTATTGTACAGCATGCAGCCAACATTCAGGTGCATGGCATGAGTGTAAGGCTCAAGTCTCAGAGTGCATAGAGGCAAGTTGTGGGCATCAAGGCAGAATATTTTAGATAGAAACTCTATCCAAGCCAATGCACATGGTTGATATCAGCTTGTGGCTATGATGTTGGAGGCAGCAGACGTTGACTCTTAGTTAGCGTGCAAAGTCAAGTAATGGTTGCACCTGATGACTCTAAACTGGCCCTGGTGGGGGCAGTTGTGGGAATTGACTCATAAGGGAATTTCTGACTAACATCAAGGGCAGTTTGCAAGTACATGCCTAGTGGGTGGTTTCGTATTGGCTAGGTGGCCAATGCTAGAATTGGTCAGCACACCAGCTCGGGGTGTCAACTACACCCATTTCCTATACATAGGGGTAGGCTGCTGAGGCACTAAACAAGAGGAATTGTTTTGTTCCCTAAGTTTTCCCTGAGATTCATTTGTTTGAGAGAAACATAGTTGGGAGATTCCATAACTGCAGTGTTCTGTGCTCATTCTATATTTCTGTGCCTAGCACCTTATTTGTGTGCCTTTTAATCTTTGTGCAGTGCATTCTTGTATTTGTCAGCCGACTGATAGGGATTCCTCAGTACATCAATGGGTGAAAATTCTCTTAAGTATTGACACTGTGACAACAAGCTACTTCATTTCATCGGCATCGTCTTAGCTAGCTCCTCCCGGTTTTTTATCTCCCTACTGCAATTCAAAGAAATTGCTTAACCATCGAGGCTCGCTTCAATTAGTTTGTACATATTCACCACACATACAAGAGCTGTCATTTTAATTATTGAGAAGCCCAAAATCCCAGAACCGTCTTAGCATGCTACATATTATATTTTCTGCTTTGAAGGAAACACAAATCGGACCTGTACTTCTAGTGGAAGTGAAAAAAAATATTAGCTAGGGGGAAAGGGACAATGGTTCCCTGAATATCCATTCACACTGCAGGAGGGCTTATTATCTGGGTAAACATACATCTTCTCAATTTAACCAAAGGATGTCTTTGTTCATTAATTATCACCAACAATTTTTTCGCTTTGATAAGTTTCATAAAAATTGTATAGATAAAATTCCAATAAATGAATTACATTCTCCACTATCATCAAATGGACCACTGTCAATCCCTTCTCTTGATTCAATTACTAAATGGTTGCTCTTTCATTTAGTATCATTTGATATAAGTTTATCTGGTTCAAACTAACTTAATTTTCTTGTTTTTTTGGTATTGTCATTTTCTGTTCGTTCCCTCTAGGGAGGCATCTTGATGATACATGGATGGCATATGTTGGTAATGACTTCAGGAAGACATTAAAGTGGCAAAAGACTGATTCAGGCATTCCAAGCGGACGGTTTGGTCACTCGTGTGTTGTAATTGGTGATTCACTTATCCTATTTGGAGGGATCAATGACCGTGGAATTCGCCAAAATGATACGTGGGTAGGACAAGTTATATTGCAGGAAACTCCTGGGATTACTTTGTCCTGGAGGCTACTTGATGTTGGTGTGGTTTTCCCTCCACCACGTGGAGCTCATGCCGGGTGTTGCCTTGATAACAAGAGGATGCTTATCCATGGAGGGATTGGTTTATCTGGCTTTAGACTAGGAGACACGTGGGTTCTAGATCTCTCAGAAAATCTTTGTTTTGGGACATGGCAAGAAATCGTGACCCATCCATTTCCTCCATCCCGCTCAGGACATACATTAACTCATATTGGAGGAACACAAACAATTTTATTTGGAGGGAGGGGATCGGGATATGAAGTGCTTAATGATGTCTGGCTCTTGAGTGCATCAGAAGGTCATTGGAGATGGATACAACAACTTTTTGATGTAGGTAACGTACCCCAAGGATTTTCCCTCGCACGAGTAGGTCACTCAGCCAACTTTATATTAGGAGGTCGACTACTTATTTATGGAGGCGAAGACACAGACAGGCACAGGAAAGATGATTTTTGGGTTTTGGACATTAGTTTGATGCCTTCAATTAAAATGCGGCCTAGTAATCTTCAGTCAAAGGGATTATTAAGAAAAATGTGGAGACGACTTGAATCCATGGGCGAAAAACCTAACTGCAGATCATTTCATCGAGCTTGTGTTGATCCTTCAGGGCGATACTTGTACGTCTTTGGTGGAATGGTAGACGGGTTACTTCAGCCTTCCGAACCATCTGGTTTGAGGTTTGATGGAGGAATTTTCCTGGTGGAGCTTGTGCTGCAGTCTTAGAGTGGCGCTTTTCTGAGATGCTGATTGGGTGACTGAATCAGTAACTCGCGTCTTGCCTATATACTGTGGAAAGCAACAATGGAAGGTGCTCGACTCCATGGCACGCCTATACCGGTGAAAAGGCAGTATTCACTTGTTGAGAAATGGTGCATTGTGATGCAACTTATGACCCATCATGGCAACCGGATGATGTCGAAACTTAAGGGTTAAGCTCGGTGCTGCAAGTTTTGTAAACTGAAAAAATCAAGTTATGATTTATGATATGGACTGTAGTTTTGGAGTAATTGAATTCAGTGGTAATTTTGCATCACTTTTTGCTGTAAATTAAGTTATGAGATAGTTTCTGGCATTGTGGCTGCATGAATATAATGAAATCCAAGCGTCTTCCCTATATTTGAAAATCTTTCTGCATTTACGTTTTTGAAGAATTTGAGAGACAATGCTGAAGAATTTAAGCTACTTATATACTTCTACCTTCATAATACATCTAATCCTCATGTTTAATATGCTGGATTGATCCGTTCTGTTGTGTCTAATCTTGTATTGAACTCGGAACCTACCTAATCTATTTAAACTAATAGATACTGTTAAGGGGCAATAAGATACTTTTATCTTTATGCTACACCTAATCGACATGTTAAGGGCAAAATCCTCGGTTTTCGAACTGCGGTCTAAAAGCTTAAAAACTGACACAGGTAATACACAAAAGGTGCAAAGTTACAGAAGTGAGAGCATGTTTGCCTAGCCTTAGAAAGTTTAGTTATATATAAATAAGTAGATTTAAAATAAATTTTTTTTTTTTTTTTAATTGCTATCTTGTTTGTACAAGAAAACAGTTACATAAATCNATATAAATAAGTAGATTTAAAATAAATTTTTTTTTTTTTTTTAATTGCTATCTTGTTTGTACAAGAAAACAGTTACATAAATCAATTATCCCAATTACCTTATGGACCGTTCCCAAGATATCATCATGACTTCCAGTATAAATTGAAACGTTACAACGATAAGCAAGGTAGGATATTATCCAGAAGGAAAATAAAAATAAAAATAAAAAAATGTTCATAAGCTCAGTTTCACTCTCCACATTTCTCCGATGATCTTTCTTGGTGCGGGGTCGTCAGGTCCTCACTCCTCTGTCTCGTTGCCCTGATGTAAAGTACAACATTCCATTCCAAAACTAACAAGAGTGGTTTTCCCACAATCACGGAGCGTTTTTGCTGGTTTAAAGATGGATGAAAAATAAAAAATAGACAGAGACGTGGAATAAATGACACACATTGGTCGGGGCGGCCGCAAAACAGCGCAGGTAACACGTTTCAACAGGACGGAACAACTTGCAGCAGGGGACGCAGGCAGACTCAGGCTGGGGACATTTGCAGCTTGTTGGGTAGGCTGCCTGAAGCGGGCAGTTTTCCAGCACATTAATAAAGTTTTTCTAAGTTCCGAACCACCCATTTTGGAAGAAAAAATACATGAATCTGCAGCTGGATATTTTGGGGATGCAATTGGGCAACTTGCACAACTTGTCCACTTGTGCCACTTGCAAGATATTATCAAGATGCAAGCTAAGATCAAGTTGACAAGGATAATATCAAGATGCAAGTTAAATACGAGTTATATCCATTTGCAAGGAAAATGATAAAGAATGTCCACTTGATGACAACTAAGCATGACTTATAAAGTGGAATGCAACTTGTCAAATGAGGTTTAAATCAACTTGCATCCAATGAGGGCCCTTGGATCAAATAAATTATGGCCATTGATTTGAAAGCAGCTTGCAAGGTCTTTGCCTATAAATAGAGATGGAAGTCTCATTTGTAAATTATGTAAAGTGAAGTGAGTTTATTTATTAGAGAGATTGTAAAGTTTTCCTTTTTATTTATATAAAGAAAGTTTCACCAATCTTACTTATTTTTCATATATTCTTTACTCCAAAATTCTCTTCTCAAAGTGGTTATAATTTAGTCTCATTGGTTAAATTATTTGTGAGCATGGAAAGGCTGACTTAACGTTTTCTCGTAAGGGATGGGAATTGTCAGACGTTAAAGTCGCACGGTTCTAATTGTTCGGATGTAACGAAACTAGGTCGAGACACAACGCTATCATAACTACTAAAATGAAAATTCAGCTTAAAGGTGCAACCGCAGCCAATGTCAAGAAGTCATCTGGCTTAACCATTTTAACAAGTTCATAAGCTGAAGGGTTGGAAAATTGCACGTGTAATATTCCACAACTTAATAAAATTTAGAAACTATCAAGTGACTGGTAACTAGAAACATCAGTAGACTGCAAGAAATGTCTGCCATGCACTAATAGCATTTGTAATGATCCAAGCCTCGTGCTTGATCGTTTTCTTACGTACTTTCCACTTTGGGAGAACATATGTCCTTCTTATCCCTCATGGATTTCTATCGCCTCCTTAGAACTCAAACACGTAATCTCCCCTTAAGAGAAACTTAAATTGAATCATGGTACCAATCGAACACATGGTCTCCCCTTAAGCGGAAAGTCCCGCCATTGATTTGTCATCGAGTCCAATGTGAATGTGCTGCTGTAGGTCTCCTACATTGAGGACCATATTATCCATAACTAAGTAAATATATCTCCCAGCTATCACCATACGTAAATGTGAATTCGCCATTTCTTTTGGCATATCAAACCTTCCTCCCAACGTGTTATCCGTGAAATTGTAATTATCAATATGAGAATGAACCTTTAAGGGAAGAAAAACATCATTAGGCCTATACGTTGAGATTGATTCATTTCCAATTTGGCAGCAATGTTGACACTGATTCTAGAGACGTGAGTAAGTATCGCCTTGAACCCTTGACAGGATTATATCAAGCACAAAACTTTGACAGAATGAAGGAATTTTGCATTACATATATATCTCAGCAGGATTCACGTGCATCATTGGATTGACAAGCAGAGTTACTGGAATGATCACTGTTGTCATCCCCAATATATTGGGAAACTATTTTATCAAGAAAAACTGGCAGTATCTGTCAGTTTTTGAACTTGCTTTAAATGGGTTTATTAAATCTCAAATATCTTAACTAAAGTTGCAAAATGAGAGACTCCATTGTAAATATGAGAAATCAGTTCCTGTTTTCCAAAACAGTTTATCGTTTCTCTATTTTTTAAGTCTTCATAGGCTCCTTCAAATTTGAAACAGGCAGTTCCAATATTTGTTAGATGATTAACCCGGAGTTTTCAAAAGGATATTTAATCCTTGTCAAAGTTATATCTCAGAAAACTGGAATATCTTTCAAGCGATATCCATAATACATCAAAATATAGTTAAAAACATGAGCAGCAGCATGGATCAGGAATTAACCATTCATAAGATCAGTGTGCATGTTAGTATACTCACACAATCAATGGTTCAATATCCAGCAAATACATAAAGAAGATTCGTGATTTGAATCACGGCACCATCAAAACGAGGCACTGATGCTGTTGATATTTTCTCCCATTTTAACTCTGGGCCAGGAAAATCAGCAAAAGTTTCTTGTAAGACCCTATCAGGAATCACATTTTCAAGTTCACAGCAGGAATAAAGGAGCAACTCTGATAAAGTATTTACCTACTACCTAAACTTGACAGAAATAAGACTTGTAAATAGAATAATAGATACAAGGAAGTAACTACTGAAACAAAAATATTAGGCTGCAATATCTCAAGCCGCCTCAGTATTGTCTTTCAAGAACTCACAGTATCTATAAGCAAATCTAATTCCTTGTTTACCCATTAAAAATCTAAACCTGAAACAACATTCTGACTACTTCAATTCAATAACTTAAACAATTAAAACACATATTCGACTCTTCCAAAATTAAATTATCCAAAATGGTATAATTTCAAGATATCAGAGTTTACATTCACTAAGCACAAAGTAATGAATTCACTCACCTTAATTGGGGCTGAAACTGTGTAAATATTAGAATGAACAAATTTGGAACCATAAAATCCCAATTCGATGCTACTGATTGGAAGCGGAGGAAGAGGAAGCCCATATCAGATCTACAATAAAAACGCTCCCAAAAGTGGAACCAGTATAAACTCAAATTCGGTAGCTTTGTGCTTTGCCCTCGCCAAATCTCGCCCCATTTATTACCTCTCAGAATTCAGCTGCGTCAACAACCCCTCCCAATCAATTACCATACATACGTATCTGTCACATTGTGTGTGAGAGATCAAATATGGCAAATCACATTGTATAGCAGAGTAGAATTAGATCCGTACACACAATACATGGACAAGACTGAACGCAAAAAGAGAGAAATCTACACAAACAAAAATGTATAATTACTCATTTTTACGATACAAACCATTCACATTACAAAACCTTTCACAATCTAACAAATAAACAAGTATAAACTCTACCAACTTTTGATTAAAAACTACATTAGAATCTCGACTATAATTGACATAATGCTGCACAAAACAAACTTTTACAAGGCACAAACTCGTAGAAAAGCTATTAAACAGGTATAACATCCATCTTAGACGTATCTTCACACCTCAGAACAATTCCCTCGAGACTAGAGGGAAATATACATTTAGTCCACTGGCATCCCGTTGCAAATGGCTCTGCGGGAGGAACTATCATAAGCACATTTTCATTTCTCTGAACAACTCCCATTACACTGACTGTGCTTCCTTCTTTGATATAACTATCATACCAAAAATTGAATTCAGAAAGTTAGAATGCGTCTCCAATCTAAATCTAACTATGCACGTGGATTTGCAGTCTCGGGTCTCTTTCTTTATTGTAATAAGTTTGAGTAAATCCACCTTCTTATCAGAATTTGGGGGGGCATTTTCAAAGTCGAGCAAGAGACAAAGTTCCATGTAGCATGAATGAGACCATGTTTCGCTAAAGCTTAAAAAGAGTAAAAAATAGTTTTTGGAAAGTAAATAAAGACCTACTTTTGAAAAGCAAGTTTTTGAACCAAAATTCCCGGGGAATAAAAGTGATAAAAAAGCTTAAACGGGTCTGGCAAAGAAAGTTACTTAACAGTCACTTTTAAGCTAAGCCAAACATGCTTTAACGTCCAAAGGGAAGGGTCCAAAGAAAAAAAAAAAAAAAAAGCTACCCTTCCTTCAATTGCATGACACGATCATCACTTGAAAGATTCCTCTCTCCCAACCACCGGACAAATTCTGGCGACAACTCTTTATTCAGTGGATCGACTTCAATGACAAGGGATTCATCGACATATGGAGTCACCCGTGCACCATAGCCAGTTTTAACCAATGCTCTTAGTCCAGACTGAAAATCAGAAATGTAGAAGTCGACAGCATGCTTCTGCATGGAGCATGGACAAAAACTCTAGTCAAGCACCACCAAGTTATAACAGATATAGATATACATACATGTATATACATATAGATCTATATATACATGTATACGTACATCATGCATGCATGTACACGTGCATGGACATGTACATGTACATATTGAGGATTTGTGATATATAGTTCTAAATCTTTCTTGCGTATGGAAAAGGTTGGAGTGAAGCAAAATGTAGGTTTCCTGCATCTCCTCTTTTAACTTTTCAAGGAAGACTTTGTTTCCCCAACTTTTAAAAAATCACTAAAATAGTTTCACAATAACAGTTCTTTAAATGGCTGCACAAGCAATAAACTTTAGTACTCACTTCTGATGATCTAATTCCCCATGTAAAACGACGGTGTGTAGGATTTGCGGCCTTAGAATCCCATCCTCGATATTCGTATAAATTGGTAGATGTGTAGACACATCTAGGAACCCTTTGGAAGGATGATTCAAGGGGCACGTTTCCACAGGTCACCACCTTCCACAATATAATCAATCATCAAACAAGAAATTTGAGTAAACAAGAATTTAAAATGCAAAATTTACTGTGACAAAACTAGCAAAACACACACCAGCTATACACTAATGCAGCGAGTTAAAAATTCATCAAGATAAATTTTCCAACCACATGTAATATACCATAAACACCTCAGAAATGGATTCTGCCACTGCTATACTGAGCACTATAGTAGCTATGAAGACCGAAAGGGCCTACTGCACATCGAGACTATCGGGCTACGCAGGAGTTTTACACAATAATGAGGACCATTGGCACCGGCTCTTCTCCATGGAGGAGGAGTTTTTTCTATATATTGATCTGGTGGCTGCACTCTCCATTTTTGAGTAGCTGTTGCTGAAGTGAACCCATACCTTGTGACTGGCTTTCTAAATCACAATGTTCTCTCCTCCCACAATTTTCTCCTATGAGGAAACACTTGTGATACTAGAACTCATGCCCTATAGAGCATGTTATCCAATTTTTAAATTGGTTTACTCTGCAGCAGCAAAGAGTTACTCTTTGGAGAGCACATTACGATGAAAATTGTAAGCTTTGTTCGGAGGGGAGTTATTGTCTATCGTTGGCCTCTATGGTAGAATCAGTTGGGGGGCCTGAGAGGCGGTCAAATATTCCCCCATGGCTTTCCTAAGTTGTAACTAAATATGCTATTAAATCCCTTGTAATTTTCAGATTCCAACAGACTAGTCAAGTCATCCAGCTAACAGGCTAATTTTGATCTTAAATGACATAAGTACACCTCTACATTCAAAACTTTTTACCTTATGGGTGATCAGCAACTTCATAAAACCACGTGGGGTTAATATGCCTTTTACCAAAAGGAAAAGCAAGTAGATTAACAAAAATCTGGGTGGAAAAGACTAACACCTTACTGTGTGAGGCAGTGTATTTCACAGGATTATGTGATCACTTAGATTTGAAACGCACAATAAAAGTTCAAAAACTATGAAGTTTCTTCTTTCATAGGTGGATGTTCTTGTTAATGGACCATGTGTAATAAAAACATCAGTTAATCATAACATCTGCATCTCACAAGTATGATATTCAAGGTTGGCACATTATAGCTAGAAATTAAACCCCTTACTGGACATTGGGACAAAAATCTATAGAATATATGGGATCACATATTCATTAAAGTACATACCCCAGAAACCTTGACATATTGCCCATTTTTGGCAGTTCTCAATTCAGCATCTGGATAACGGGATATGTATCCAATGATAGCTTTTCTTCCCCAACAAGAATTCCATACAAATACAGCAAAAACGATGCAGAATAGAACCACAATGACAATGAGGAGAATAGGATTGTGCACAGCCCCAAAAATAAATCCCCCAGCAATGAATCCCATTACGAAAAGTAAAATCATTGCCCACAATATAGCTTTTGGGAGGTTCCTTTTGAAGGAATAGTCATCATCTTGACCAAGAGTCGTCATGGCCTGGTTGTAAGCAACTGAGGAACCACGTAGCCTGATCGATCCCGTTGAGTCCAAAGGACCAGAAACCTTTCTTGGGGCCCCAGATGTAATGGGTCCAGATGTGATGAGACCTGTTGCAGGAAGATTTAGAGGTTGAGGACCAGAGTTTTGGCGGGAATTAGGCGTCACTCCCCCAGATTGAGGGCTGGAGGACATTTTAATAGGTTCTCCATGTTTATTAAGTGGCCCAGAATTCGATTTCTTCATTGACGTAGAACCAGATACCCCCATGGAAGATACAGGACCCGAGGAAGAATAGCTGGACCTGGCTGCGGCATTGGGATTAATAGGTCCAGAACGAGAAGCGGTTCCTGCAAAAGATCCTGCCTTTGGTGGAGCATTGGATATAGGTCCAGATTTCCTAGATTTTGAGCCATCAACAGGAATATCAAACATCTTTCCGAGCTCGCCCGACTTCTTGATGTCCCCACCCGTGTAGGGCATGGCCGCCGAGCTCATTGTTGGCGTTTTTTCCTTTGGCTGTTCTGGGCGGCCCGATACATAGAGGCCACTGCTAAGCTGATGAGATTGGAATCGAGAACCCATCGTTTCTTATACAGCAATTATCGCAGCACAAGCTATTGATGCCACTTCAATTATATCAGCATCGAAATAGTATGCCTCTAAGAGAAAATCAACTTCCGTCAATCAAACGAGTGTTTAATAACGCCAGACACCATTTCAAATCTTTCATGATAATAACTAGAAAAACTGGAAAAGAAATGCATAGCAACACATCATAGAGAACAATGCTGCATTCATTCATGTTATAAACAAAGGTGGGACAAAAGAATTATATGAAGTTATCGTTAAGATTCTATTAACAGATAACTAAAAAAGCAGCAGATAAATATAGAAAATTTTAAAAACCTTCAAACAACTCGAATTAACAGAGAAAAAATAAGGTCGATGATCTTATGAAAGGATTAAGTTCAACGCCATAGTACATATTCTAGCTTATACTTATGTGTCAGATAAACTAGATGAAATTTAAAATTGTTTCCTTTACCATAATATGTGGAAAACCAAATTTGAAATGCTATGATTAGCAAAAACAAGGTCAAGAAGAAAAAATAATTGCCTCAAAGTATTTGTGCGTGTAAGAGAGAGAGAGCGAGTGTATAGCTCATCAAAAACATATGGGAAAAAAAATTATAAATACCACGAATGTACAAAATTCCTAAAAACACGAAGTCATATGCAAGGAATCTGGATTTACCGAGAGAGAGAGAGAGAGAGAGAGAGGTTGGGGGTTAAATTATACAACTGAAGACTACAGGAAACAAAGTAGTATCAACATCACTTCCCACCATATAATCGTGAAATCTTTACAAAACAGTTGATCAAAAAGTTCAAGAACAGTATACTTCTAGACAGAGATGTGATGTAGAAGAGCAGTTCACACCAGCAAGTTGATGAAAGAAAGGAGCTAGAAGCAAACGGAATTAACGACCTTTTAAATGAAGAGATGACACCCATTCATTATCTTTAAAATTGTAATAAGTGCATTACATTCTTTGTTAGCAAAACGCATCTTTTTCCTTTATTTAGCAAAGTGGAGGGAAGGAACAGAAATCAGTTGGAATTCGTAAAAATGTTGCATCTCTTTCTTCTTCCCCAATTCTCTGCAATCTCCCTTCTCCTTTCTTCTTTATTGTAATCACGTTTGGTTCAATTAATATAGTTACAGGTTGGGTTGTTAAATTCCAGCTGCTTATCTTTATTTGTGAGTTAATTGTGGTGATTTTGGTTGGTTTTGGTTGAGATTCAGCAAAACCATTACAAGAGACATGCTCGGCAAGATCTGAATATGGTGTGCCAAAATGAGCAGAAGAAGATGCACTCCTAGGAAGTTAAAAAATACCTACTATGACTTCATAAAAACCAAGAATGTTCCAAAACTGATGATGTATCAATAAATACAAGTAATTAATCTGTGTCAGCTGCACATGGGCTGTTCCTCAATAACCACGGAAAACAACAGTACTTGTCTAAATACAATTTTTTTTTCAGTTTCTCCGAATGATTCGGTAAGGACAAACCCAGAACCCAAAACCCCAGAAAACAAGGAATAGAAGTAAACATGAAATACACTTATCTGCAGAATTTAACTGCAAAAATGCCTAAAGAATACAAATTCACTAAATTTCAGAAATCTCAAAATCTTTGAACAAAAATCAGTCAAATTTCCATTTAAACTAAAATTAACTAGATTCTATTGTTTTTCAACAGTGAAAATCAAGAAATCTGAACCAAGACTTCAGTTTTCTTTTGATGGAATCAGAGCCGTCAATCTTTAAACAGATACCCACTTGGTCCAACTTTACTAAATAAGCATAAAAAAAGGAATAAAATCCAAAAACAAATTATCAATGTTCAAAAGTAGTGAAAAAAAAAAGGGGTTAACAATTTCACCATTTTCTAGCCCCAAAAAAAGAGAACATAAAATAACAGCCATTTGGGAGTAGCTCTCAGATTATTGCAGGAAATAAAGGAAATGGTAAGGGGAAAATGGGCAGAATAAGAAGAAAAATAGTAAAACCTGAAGGTGTTTTCTTGAACATAAGTATGTAGTAGCAGTACCTGAAGTTGAAATCTGAGAGAGATTCTGGGAACATATTGAATTAATATGTATGGGAGCAGTGCAAGTATTCGTGTGTATTACAAGAAGGGTAGTTGTTAAACAAGATTTTGGTGCGATCCCATCGTCATATTTCTACCGCTGTGTACTACTAAAATTTTTGGTTTCTTCCGCAACGACTAGCGGGTTGTCTACTCCGGCCATAAAAACCTCTTCAAACAAAGATTATAACAGAAAATTAACTTTCCTGCGCGCGAGTAATAATGATAGCAACTTATAATTTATAATTATTTGTAGAGAGAGAGAGAGAGATGAAGAGGTGAAAAACCCAACGCCACTCTTTCTCTTTACCGTGTATAGAAATATTTTTCTTGTAATTTTAGTCCTGAAACTTTTTAAGAATTTTAAATTTGACCACAATTGATTTGACATTTTTCTCTACATAAGTAAATATCTTAGTATCATATACATATACATGTACATGTACTATTTACATTTGTATGATAATGGAATCTGACTCAACCAACTTTGAGGCCATAGATAAAAAAATTTGGAGTGTTCTATCGTGAATAAGGTTTTTTCATAAGAAAGTTAAGTAATATTGATCTCTACGAAAATATTTTATCATTTTATTAAATTAGGAAAAAAATAATAGAAGTTCAATTTAACTACGAAAAGATAATTGTTTGACCGTGGTGAATTTTTAACCAAATTATAATGCACGAGATACAACACATATCACTCAAAGAGAGCTAAACACACACACACACACACACATATATATATATATATATATACACTTTTCCCAACAAAGATAAAAATAGTACTTTTTCCTTGAAACACAAGAAAGCTCCATTTTTGTTCAATTCTATTTCAAAAGCTATCATAAAATCAGGGTTGACCCGACCCAAAGCAAACAAACTAGTCCATTGCATGAGGAAATTATAGGAAATGACCGGATAAATCGATACTATTTCCAAAGTAATCTTTGATCCCTTTTTGTAATTAAAAAAAATCGAATTTAAAACTTAAAATCTCAAAATACCCCTCACAAAATCGACCCTCACAAAACCGACTCTCACAAAATTGAAAATCACAAAACTGGTCAGAGAAAGGTTGATCTATCGCCGACGACGTCTTGTGAAGGTAAGTTACCGTTGGTTGATTTAATATTTAGATTTTGGAGATTTTTTCAATATTTATTTGTTTATATTAGTAAAATAGAGTTTATGTAGTCTAAAAAAATATTGGTTGCTTGAATTTGGAAGCTTTTCTCGCCAGAAATGATGATTTTCCGGCGAGAAAGCATGGCCATTTTAGCTTAAACCCGACCGTTAACAGTCGGATAGCAATAGTATTGGGCCGGCTTAACAGTCGGCCCACACCGACTGTTTTAAGTCGGTTTGACAGTCGGCCAATTTTTTTCCAATTTATTTTTTTCACAAATAATTTAATAATTTAATTTTAAATATTTTTTATTATTTGATTTTAATAAATAATAAATTATTTAGTTTGTCGAATTTATTGTTACGACTAAATTTAAATAAAATTTTTACATTTAATTTTTGTTCTAAATATTTATTTATATTTTTTCATTTTTGGTAAATAATAATTTGAAATAATTGTAGGGGAATTTTTAATTGTAATTTGAAATAATTGTTGGAAATTTAATTTAATATTTATTTTTATTTTTATTATTAGTTTTTGATAAATAATATTATCTTTTTTTTGCCCAATTTTTTTTCACAAATAATTTAATAATTTAATTTTAAAAATTTTGTATTATTTGGTTTTAATAAATAATAAATTATTTAGTTTGTCGAATTTAAATAAAATTGTTACGACTAAATTTAAATAAAATTTTTACCTTTAATTTTTGTTTTAATATTTATTTTTATTTTTTCATTTTTGGTAAATAATAATTTGAAATAATTGTTGGGAAATTTTTAATTGTAATTTGAAATAAATGTTGGAAATTTAATTTGAAATTTAATATTTATTTTTATTTTTATTATTAGTTTTTGATAAATAATATTGCTTTTTTTTTATTTGCCCAATTTTTTTCACAAATAATTTAATAATTTAATTCAAAAAAATTTGTATTATTTGGTTTTAATAAATAATAAATTATTTAGTTTGTCAAATTTAAATAAAATTGTTACGACTAAATTAAAATAAAATTTTTACATTTAATTTTTTTTAATATATATTTTTATTTTTTCATTTTTGGTAAACAATAATTTGAAATAATTGTTGGAAATTTAATTTGAAATTTAATATTTATTTTTATTTTGTGATAATTGGGAAAAATTGACAATATTGATAATAGGATAAAAAAATTCACATTATTAACGATTTTAATTATTATGAACCTGCGTTTTGCATGTTGGAGTTACAATTTCGTTCGCTAAATTTTCTGTTATTACTATTATGACTTGTACAATGTTCTAACATTTTGAATTTATACAGGATGGATTATCATCTTGACGCGGAGTTGAGACAGATGCCAAGTAAAGCTACGTGGAATAGTAGCTTTGATAGTTTCACAGTTGTGTTAGAGCTGTTTGATGATCAGCATACTGATATGCAGCGCCAGTCCTTCCTGTGGCCCTTGTACCCCTTGAGAGATCTGCAGTACTCGGGTTAGGTTATTGATGCACTTCTATGTCGATTGCTGAGTCTAGTCGACAGCGATGCCCTCCACTTTGCAATCGGGGGTCAAATCGCCAGTTTTTCGATGTTCAAGTTTGCTCTGATCACGGGATTAAAGATTACGGGCGATAAAGCAGCTGGTGATGGGACTCAGAGAAGAAATAGGCTTCATGACGCTTACTTCGTGGGACAGGGTACTGTGCTCCTTACACAACTGTTAGACGCAATCAGGAGGTGTGATCAGATGTTAGACAAACTGAAGTTAGGTCTGGTCTACATCCTTGAGAGCGTGGTGCGGTGTCACCATAAGAAGACCGTGATTGACCTCTTCCATCTGGAGATCGTTGACGACCTCGATCGTTGCCAGAGATGTTTTGAGGACACTATGCACGTCTTCACTAGATCGCACTCGAAGTCGAAGGGAGCCATGCGTAAGTACGACACCTATGGATTGCCCCTGGCGGCGCAGGTAAATGGTTAACATAATGAATGTTAAAATTATTTTCATATTGAATTTATATATAATAACTGTATGTGTTGCAGATCTTGGCGTATGAGGCCGTCCCCATATTGGGTGCTCGATTTGCGAGGCGAAGGGAGACATGCTGCCCTCGGATGCACCATTGAAGAGCATCTCGATCGGAGGGATGTCCCACTGGGAAACAGTTATCGAGTATCCTGGACGACTCTCAGGTGAATATTATGCATTTGTAATTTATATTGTGCGTGATTTAACATCTGATTGCATGATCGTTAACTAGTTCAAATATTAATATGTCCGCTTGAAGTTATAAGTAAGTTGACCCCGTCGATAGAGGAGGAGGCTTAGGGTTTTATGCATGAATTAGGCATTTCGCACACCGAAAATGACCATATGACCGATCCGATCCACTACCGAAATCGGGTGAGTGAATTAAATAAAATCTATTGATTACCATTTTGTATGAGTTAGCATTTACGGATGAAGTTAATAATTTGTAATGTTGTTGCTTGTGTAGGAGCGTGATCCAGTTGATCGACGATTACCTCCGTCGAGGGCATCACCATCTCTGCCGAGGGCATCTCCTCCTCCTTCGCCAGAGATGCCGCCGAGGGCATCTCCTTCGCCGTCGAGAGCATCTCCTTTGCCTCCCCATCCAGAGACATCTCATGTGGATCTCCCACACGTAATCAGGGGCACTATTTTGATGATCTGTATGCTCGTCTGAGTAGATTTATAGAGGGGTAGGTCGATGGGCTGCGTCGAGAGCTGATAGAGAGGGTTGATGATCTGGGACGACAGTTGATAGGAAAGGTCGAAGGTTTGTCGAATGAGATTGCAGCACTTCGGGGTGATATAGCCGGTAGACGATGGGTTGACGGAGATGGTGATCGAGGGGGTGATCGAGAGGGTGATAGGGATGGGTGTGATAGAGATGGGGGTCTCCGGCAGTCATACATACATGATGACGATGCATGGAAATCGTTTATTTTATCCGTGGAGCGCGATGGGATGGGAGTAGTGACAAAGGAGGGGGGGCCCGTCGAGGAGGGAGACGGAGGCAGATGGGGGAGTGGCCCCATAGGGGACGGAGACGACGGCAGATGTGGGAGTGGCTCCGTCAGGGACGGAGACGGAGGCAGATGTTGGAGTGGCAGATGAGGGAGTGGCCCCGTCGGAGACCGTGGCAGATGAGGCGATGGAGGAGGTGGCAAGCCCTAGGGTGGAGGAGGTGGCACTGTATCAGGCAAAAAAGCGTGCTGTTGACATGCCGAAGACGGTGGTCGGCAAGAGGCCGAGAGTGCCATCACAGTACGTCGTCTCTCCCTTCACGGCTGAGGCGAAGAGGAGGAGGTTCGTCGATGGGACGTACCCCAATCTATACCGGGAGGTTGACCATGCGAAGTGGAAAGCATTCGAGCTGAGTGGCGAAGAATGTTGCCCGGGTAAGTATTGTATGATTTAGTAGACTAGAATTACTCGTATATGCTTTGTTTAACATTTTTTCTATTTTATTTCCAGAGCCACACACATGATAGCCGAAAGGGCGATATTGGATGCATACAAGTGGTTCCATGATATCACCACTCAGGGGGCTTGGCTCGCCGACGATGTAAGTGAAGTGTTAATGTTACTTTTTGTATACGTTATGTTTAATTTGGTAAATGGAATAAGTATTTATGTCTTTGTTTTCCTTGATGTAGCACATCGACATGGCCACGGACTTGTTGCGCGATCGAGTTGAGAGATATCCACAATCATTCCACAAGCCTAGCCGCATTATACTGAACACCGAGTTTTTTCGTGCCGTTACCATTGAGTATCAGTCCCTCCAGCTTCTAGGTAACGAGTACGTGCTTTCCGCGTATATGCTCGAGTGGGTTATCGGGCTGTCACCGAGTGTTAGGGGAAAGCCATGGGAAGGTTGTATGCATTTGTACATTTCAGTTATCGCGAATCAGCACTATATTGCACTGGAGATCATATTCACTGATTCGACAATATATGTGTACGATCCCGATCATTCATGTCTGACACAGGGACAGCTCGAGCATATCTTAGAGCCGATGACTGTGATCATTCCTATGATGGCTAGACATGCGGGCTTAATTGTGGATGACAAACTAGCCATCGTGCGGGGCACGACGACGACAAGACAATTTATATCGTAAGTCTTTGTAATCC